TTAAAAACCTTGGAATATTTCTCCAGCCATCACTCCTGTAGGTAACCACTGGCTGTCTCCTTATCCAAACAGGGATCAGTGTGTGCTGTGATGGGGTGTATTGAGCAGTCTCTTTTATGTACATCAAATAGAATTTGTGCAGAGTCCAAGGCTACCTTACCATCAAGTACAATGTTTGTGGCTCAAGACTGTTGGGAATCTCAGACTGAACCCTTCAGCCTTTGGTGCAGTGTCTTTTCTACATCCGGCTAAATAACATGGGAGCTGAGATGGGAAGAAGGTTATTTATTTACACATGGATGGTGCCAAGAGGAATTTTTAGAAGTATGGATTTAGAAAGGAGCTAATTTCAACTGATTCTTCAGACAACGAGGAAGAGGATGTTTGGAAATCCACCTAGAGCCCTGGATGGGGCCAAAGGTAAATAGTATTCAAAGTTGTGTAAGAATTCAGCGGCTATTTGTTTAGTTTACTTACCATGAGAAAGAAACAGATTGTCTGTCCCTGTGGAATCATAAAAAGGATCCAGGCCAGATTCAGACAAAGTGGAGACAGGTACAATATCTCTTTTGCAGACGTATGAACGATAGTGGTTCCTGGCCCCTGCCATTGCTTTCTGAATGTCATAGATTGATGAGAACCAGCATGATGTAATAGATGGGGCATTGAGTTTGGAAATTAGAAACCCAAGTTCAAATCATCTATAACCTCACTGGGTTGTCTTGGGCTGAATGCTCTCTTGCAGTCTGACTGACTTTGCAGGAGTCAGTCTGGCAGTAGGTGATGTGAAAGACCTGTCTGAGACCTTGGATAGCTGCTTCCAGTCTGAGTAGATAATACTGACTTTGATGGACCAAGGGTCTGATTCAGTATAAGGCAGTTTCATGTGTACCACAAGGGTGGGGTACACATCTAATAGATGGAAGGAAGGCTGTAACTCCTTCCAACCTTCTGTCCCAGAATGTGTTCTGATTGGGTTTGGCAAAAACAGTGCTAACCCGTCGGGGCGACCATCTGACATTCTTCTCCCAAAGCTGTTCTCTCTTCAGCACCTTAAAAATGTCTTAGACCCACGTTAAGCCCACTTCCTCATTTTAATTTTGATCTGTATCTGTCAGCGAGGGTGATTTATGTCAAGCGATTTATGCCATATATGTGGAGACATGAAGAGTTGTTTATTCTTGTTTCTAAACCTACCAAGTTAAATATTTAGCATTTATATGTTGTGTTTTGAATCTGCAGACTGCTTTACATACATGATCTCAGTCATCCTTCAGATAATCCTGTAAGGAAGGTCAGTGCCCCTGTATTCCAGATTCAGGGGTGAGATACAGTAGTTTGCCAAAGTCTGGCTGGTGAGTCCATGGCTGACAATTTGCATGGTACTCAGCACCTTGGTGAAGGAGCTCTCCCAAGTCCTGTGGGGGGGGGAATTGGTGAAAAACAAGAAAAACAGTGCAACCTTTAAAAAAAAAAAACCTTTTTCAAAAACAATGCAGCCTTTAAAAACAAAAACAAAAATATATGCATAAAACCATCTACAGTCAGTGGCTTGTGCTCTCATAAGCTAAAGTGGCTTCCTCTGTCTTTCAGACCAAGCAGGGCCGTGCCTGTGATTAAAAAAAAATCCCTTCCCACACTCCTTAGTAGATACAGAACCATGATCAAGGTTTTGACAGTTTTTCTTCCTAGACATTTTCACATATTGTTCTGTGCACGGTTTCACTCACAGAAGGCATAAATCTTCAGTGGACAATATGACATGAAAAATAACAATGCAGTCTCTGCAATGTGGATAATGGAGTTGTTTGTTGCACTTGAGATTCATGCGTTAACAGACCAGTGTGCTGAAAGTCTAAACAAAAGATGGCAAGGAACGGAGCACCAATGTGGTCTGTTCTGATCTTACTTCTGCCATGAATAGCCATAGGCAAAGCACTTTGCCTCAGTCTTGCTTCTGTTGTATGGGGGAAAGAATACTGACATAAACTTAAAGGGCTGTTATGAAGGATTTCACCAAGAAAATGCACCTGAATGTGCACGATTTAGTGCTTTGCCTCTAGATCAGATGCATGGCTTTTAGGCAGGCTTGAGATCCAAGAACAAAGCATTGATTAGTATTCAAACATTTCACTAAATAAAAAAGACAGCCAGTGTGTTGTAGTGGGTAGAATGTCAGACTAGGATCTGGGAGACCCAGGTTTGAATCCCTACTGTGTCATGGAGACCTTGGGCCAGTCGCATGCTTTCAGCCTAACCTACCTCACAGAGTTGTGGTGAGGGTAAAAACAGAGGACAGGAGAACAATGTTTGCCCCTTTGGGTTCCAACTGGTGAGAAAGGTGGGGTATAAATATAGTAAATAAACAAAGTTTATACCCCGTGTTCCTGTCTCACAGTGCTCAAAGTAGCACTGAGTTTTAACATGAGCATCATCACTTGGGCATGGTGGCATGACAGTAACAGCTAGAGTTCTTCCTGATTTCTAATCCATTCCATACCTATAGCACTGTTGTGTTTCAGTAGCCTTACACCAGCTTTGGCTGAGAGATCAGAATAACTTTCGGAATGTGTAACTCAGACCTGCTCTTGTTAACCTAATCAATTGCACACATGACTTGAAGGCATCATTTGGCAGGGAAAGGGGGGGATGGGGAAGGTTTACATTGTGTAGGGTGGATTAGAGAATTAAAGGGTGTTTGGCATTTGAATAGAGTGTCTTTTGCTGAATTCCAGGAATTGTAAGAGCAGAAGAGGCCTGTGGCTCAAAAATCTTTTCAGGTATTGGGGGGGGGGGGCTATTCTCAGTGCATGTGGGAGCAAAAGATGCCACCTAAGTGGAGGCTGCTGCCAAGACCTCTTAGTGATCCACTGCTTTACTGTCATTCATCTTTATTTCTCTGGGTTTTTATTCTCCAGGGCTCACCTCCATCCCTTCTCCTCCTTGAACCATCCCTAAGAAGGGAGTTGGTAAATCAAACCAAGAGACTTGTAAAAGGGGCTTTTTCTCAGGAATGGGTCTTTTCTGTGGTGGCACCACAGCTGTGGAATAGCCTTCCTCATCCAACAACTTATTTGTTGTCATTTTTAGTGCTGGTGGCAATATTTTTATTTCAGGTAGTATTTTTTTTCAGGCTTTGTAGTTTTTATTTCTTTTATCTGCTGATGTGAGAGATTTGTTGTTATGAAATTTTGATGGTCTGTTTCTATTTTATGCTGCTGTATTTTATACTGATGCTACTATTCTCATCCAAAAGCAGCTATTTGTATATTTTATCTGCCAGTATATATTATGGTGGCCTTCCCCCCCCCCATGGGTCCTTAGGTTCCCCCTTGTATCTACCATGAATCCTGTCTAACAGATGTGCAATTGGAATTCTGTGCTTAGAGCTGAATTCATAGGTGCACAGGGGCCATTTTTGGATCAAGCCACCCTCACACACATACACTTCCTTTTCCTGACCTGAAGAGTTCCCAGGGAGTAACTGTTTACCCGGCTGGGGAAAATTATGGATAGTACATGTAAATTTATCTAGTGGGACAAATAACTGGTCCTCAGGGCATGGTTTTGGGGTGTGTGTATGGAGGCTTAAGTTAGGTGAGCCCACAGTGATGATCCAAAATGGCCTTTGTCCAGTTGGGAATTTAGTCCCAAGGATGGAACACATGACACACATATGTTAGGCTTTTGGGGGGGAACACAACGATTGTACGGTGCAGTTAGGCCGTACAATCGTTGTGGTTCAGAGCCATGACTGTGGAATATTATTGTGAAATTGTTGTGTCTTGTCTCGTTGCTCTTTGCTGTCTTGAACATGCTTTGGGAAAGGCAGGAAGAATATAGAATGTTTTTAATAAATAAAAGCTTGTCCAAAACTTTGTGATAGTCATTTCTCTGAAGTAACAGGAGTGACTTTTCCCTTTAGTTTTTTTTTTAGGGTGGTTAACTCTAAATATATGGGGTGGCGAAGGACCATGCTGCTGAGAAACTAGGTCCTTTGGTATTTTCCCAGTTATAGTTGCTCACATTAATCTCATAGAATTCAAAAGAAATGTAAAAAGGACTAGGCCAAATGGCAAGACACTTCTGGACTCCTGAGGGAAACAGCAAGGTTTTTTGTGTTCCTTTTAGAGAGATATATTAACACATGTGTGGATAACACGTATACACCTAGATTTTATTTAATGTAAAAGGGTTAATTGAAAAAGAAACTTTAAAAATAGTTCTGACAATGCCATAAGCATTTTGAGTAGCAGTGTGTTACTCGTGGGGGTGTTATAGATGCCTACAGTAGTCACACCAAAATGCATATAAGTGTGTACACTTTGGAAGGTTTTGCTCTAGCTTTTTCAATGTATGCCATGATTCATATGGCAGTCTACCACCCCCAAAACAATTATGTTAATAGAGACTAAAGGAAGGTGACACAAGATGAATCTGTACAACAGTTAGTGATAGTTCTACAATGCCTCTGCCTAGTATTTGGAAAACATATAGAGTACAAGTCAGCAGATGTGCCTTGAAAAATGAAAAAAAAAAAATTCTTTACCACGCTGTCTCTCCCGGCTAGTGAATCAGTATTAGACCAATCTTATACTGTATATTTGGCATTTATTAAGCCAGAAATACCACCTTCTGATTCCATACAGCCCACTAAATTGGATGAGATTTCTTACTTCATCCATGGTAAGAATGCACCAGAAACATGGGAAAGATGTATCCTTTAATAACTTTAATTGTGAGTGCCACATTATGATGAAAGGGTGTTGGAAGGGGCAGCTAGACCACAGAATGTGAAAAACTGAGAATGCTGCCCTTGTTACCTGATGGATGTCACAGGGAAGGAGAGAAGGGTTGAGAAAAATTAAAGCTGCCTTCAGGGAAGAGCAGTAACCTCAGACTTCTTGTGATTTGTATATATTTTATGAACAAGGGATTAAAAACCTTCCCAATATAAAAATACATACTGAACTGATTTATTTTTTCCCTTCTTGGACTTTGGCAGATAAAGGAACTCACCCGGAGGAGCAAGTGATGGTGTAGGTACCCTCCCCCTCCTCTCTCCCCTCCCCATCTTTCCTGTTTTGATGGGGGGGGGGGGGACCTGCTTTCCTTCTTTATTTTTCCAAAGTGACAAATATCACTGGAAAGAAATATCTCCCCCCAACCCCAAGTATAACAATATAGCTGTTTATTTATGACATACATCACAATACATCCTGTTCCTTGGGGATATTAACACATTATTATTTTTTTTCTATCTGGAGAAACCGTTAGTCCCCCCCCCTCCTTTCCCAACCACTACCCAGCCCCTTCTCTTATAACCCATCCATCACCCCCCTCCCCACAACTCACCATCCTCATGTCCTTCACTCCTCCTGCAGCAGCAGCAGCAGAGGAAAGGAAGACTGCTGAACAAGAGTAAAAATAGACCCGGCAGTTACTCAGCTCCTGAGAACATGATGACATGACTCATGAGGTAAAATAAAGAGATGTGAAAAATCAAAAGCGGTTGCATTTCTCCCCCACCCCACAACCGTGCACATGCTTAATGCACCCCATGCCCACCTCCACACAGGCCCCTGCTGCTTCTCAGATCTAAGGGGGAGGGGAGGAAAAGAAAATCAGCCTCGACTTATAGGAGTTACTGAGGTAAATTACCCAGATAACTGCTCCAAAAATGCACATAATTTTTTAAAAAATCATTTGAACTTCGCTTCAGTTTTCATATTCTCTCTCATATAGCAGCTTTTTGCTTTCTTTCACAGGAGTTTCTCATGGCCGACACACATGGTAGTCCAAGGTGCGCATTAGCTAAGGCTCTGTTCCTACTTTGCTCTCACTTGACATGGAATGTGGGCAGGTATTTATTTATTTGGATGTTTATACCCCACCTTTCTCCCCAGTGGGGACCCAAAGCAGCTTGCAACATCATTCTCTCCTCTTCCATCTTATCTTCAGAAGAACAACTTTGTAAGGTAGGTGAGACTGAGAGGGTGTGACTAGACCAAGGGTACCCAGTGAGCTTCCATGGCAGAGTGGCGTTTTGGTCCTGGGCCTTCCAGATCCTAACTCTAACCACTACACCACACCAGATGCATGGTCACCAACCCCCATTGGCCTTGGACCAGCTCAGTGTGTATTGCTTCGAGGCATTCTCAGTCTGCATATTCCACCCTCCTCCATACCTCACCAGTCATGCTTTTGTCTCACCTCTTTATCAGTTTAAGAGCCTCGTGGGAAAGAACTGGGGCTGTTTCTCAAATACTTCCCATGCAGAAAATGCTGTGGCAAAGTCAGTGCAGGTAGATGTTAACCCCTAAAGCCAAATGTGTGAATATTGTCTAGCTGGATGATGATTGTGACCTGCACTTTCATAGACAATAGTGTGGTTCATCAGCTGCAGATGAGGTGATGAAGTTAGCTATTGTTTGCAAGAGTTCATGTCACAATAAGCCATTTGACATCCAAGGTGTCTCAGCCAGCACTTTTCTCAGTCGTGTTACTTATCCAGTTTTCCTATTTTTTAATGGACTAATTTCAATTCAACATCTCCCTGTTTGCATTTTTATGGTCCAATTTGTATATAACTACCACCTCCCAGAGGTGACGTTAAACAGCTCCACGTGGAGGCTGTTATTTGATGTGAGTATTGATATGCAGCTGTTCACCATGCAAACTGGATGATTTTCAGTATCCCACCATGACAGGATCAATAGGCGGAATGATCTCAATTAATTTAGCCTGTGTGGTGAGATATGGCACATCAGCGGTTGCCATCTGGACCAATTTAGCGGTCACATGGTAGTCATAACGTAAAACTTTAAAGGGAGGTGGGAGAAAAGAGCCCACAATGTGAACCTTGAAGCTCAGTTGTGTAATAAATAGCATCATGATGTGGTAGACATCTTGCTGAACTCTACCATTTCAGTCTGCAGGTCAGGAATTGGTAGTTTCTCCATTTTATAGGGTTCCTAACACTGCCTTGGCAAATGCTGGGAGATTTGAGTGTGCGTGTGAGGAGGGTGGAGTTTGGGGAGGATGTGATGTCACTTCCAGGTGAAGCTCGGGGCTTACTCTGCCAGTCTCTATGGTCTTCCCCATAGAGCCTAGGGGAAATTCTTAGAGTATCACTATGTGGAGGCCATTTTACTCTTGTGTTCCTCGGAGCCAGGAAATTGGGGCTGGGGGCATAAGAGAACATAAGAGAAGCCAATGTTGGATCAGGCCAATGGCCTATCCAGTCCAACATTCTGTCACACAGTGACCAAAAATACCAGGTGCCATCAGGAGGTCCAGCAGTGGGGCCAGGGCACTAGAAGCCCTCCCACTGTTGCCCCCCTAAGCACCAAGAGTACAGAGCATCCCTTGCCCCAGACTGAGAGGGAACCCCGCCCCCCAAGCTGCGTCACGGGAGGTGACGCAGCCACGTTGCCGACGTTGGGGGCGTGACTGAGCTCGTCGGAGGGGAAAACCATATGGTTTTCCTCTCCGACGAGCTCAGCCACGCCCCAAACGTCGGCAATGTGGCTGCGTCACCTCCGGTGACGCAGCTTGGGGGGCGGGGTTCCCCCGGGCCGGAATTCCCCTGCGGCGGAAATTGGGCCGCGGAAGCGGGGGGTTCCCCGCCCCCCGGCCTGATTTGGCAACCCTATGGCTAATAGCCCCTGATGGACCTCTGCTCCATATGTTTATCTAATTCTCTCTTGAAGCCATCCAGGCTTGTAGCCGCCACCACCTTCCTGTGGCAGTGAATTCCATGTGTTAATCATGGCAGGCATATATTTTTTTAATACGGGGGGTAAATTCATTCCCCTTGTGGTATACAATGTGATTTTGTTTATCATGAAGTTGGCCCTTTATCATATCAGAAGAACCTCTCCACACAGCTAAGCTGGTTCGTGTATTGCATGTATCAGTTTCAAATTTGCATCAGATCTTTCTTCCCTGATAGTCAGTTTTTGTGTCTGTACATTCTCCTGTCTTTTAGTAGAAGAGGAAAGTTGTGTGAAAACAGGCCCCCACATATTCCAGTGTTGGCATATAAAATAAAGCACAAAATACTGAATGACTTCTGGCTTTGTACTCAGTATTGCCTAGCAGTTATTTGTTTATTTTGATTTATAACCCTCCCTCCCCTGTAAACAGGGCTCAGAGTGGGGAAGGGAACAACATTTCCAACAATTCAGTCTGTGTCTTTTCCTTAAGAGTTACCAGCTATCCCTTTATTTGAAGCCACACCCTTTATTTGAATCTGTAGAGTACAATAGTCCCATATTTCTGCCCTTCTTGCTTCCATTTTTATCTTATTTCCAATTTGCCAGTTTATGAAGATTTTGTGAAGGCACATCCAGGCTTAATTCGGGACTTCACTAAAACTGCACTGGCCATATATGTGCACAAAACAAAAATGCTAAATATCAGTTTGCCTTCAGTGAACACATTAGCTACACCTTTGGCATTAGAAGACTGAGCCCTTCCAGATATGCTTTTTTCCTCTTTGCCTTGACTGACTTGGGGAGGTTCAAACTTCTTTTCCTTTTCTCCAACAAAGCCTCCTGTGGATATAACTAAGACTGAACAGAATGGTGCAAAATAACAGCAGGATAATATTGTGAAAAAACAAACAATTTCTCATCTAAAAAATGGGGGAAATGGGGCCTGAGAAGAGAGAGGAGGAGAGATTGGATTTATACCCCGCCCTTCACTACCCAAAGGTGTCTCAGAGCGGCTTACAAACTCCTTTCCCTTCCCCTCCCCACAACAGACACCCTGTGAGGTAGGTGGGGCTGAGAGAACTCTTGACAGAAACTGCTCTTTTTCGAGAACAGCTGTGCCAGAGTTATGGCTTGCCCAAGGTCATCCAGCCAGGTGCAAGTGGAGGAGTGGGGAATCAAACCCGGTTCTCCCAGATTAGAGTCTGCACACTTAACCACTACACCAAACTGGCTCTCAGTGCCTGGTGCTCAGGGTTGTTGGAAGACTGGCCACAAATAATGCTTGCAAACATCCCACTTTCAAATTCAAAAACTGTTAAATTTTACTAACATGGTTTAGTATATAATGCTTGTAATGTATTCAATAGCTGTCATTGAATGCATGATGTATGTGAAACATCTAATTGACTTGCCATGTTGCGCTTCGTCCTGGGCTAGGATCCAAATCCATCCAATCGCATTGCTAGCCCAGGAAGCACCTAGCCAATCACTTTACAGCAAGCTCCCTGAGTGGGAACGTCCGTGATTGGTCCTTATATGAACAACCGTATTGGTTGGTATTTGTACAGTGGGTGTGGCTACATTAGCCGGGAGAGTTTAAAAGCAGGACAACTGAAATGTAGAAGCTGAACTGTTCTGTTCTGGCTATCAGATGTTGATCCGTGTTGGAGTTGTGTTCGAGTTGAAGAATAAAGCTGTGTTCTTGCTGAATCACTCTCCGACTTCTTTGTTAAGCGAGCGACTTAACAATACTGATTTGTCTTTATAAGCTAATTCACACATGTATGTTTGTCAGTCATTGACTGAAGAATTAAGTATTGACGGGCTTGTGTGAATGTGCCACCACAGATTAACCACAGTCAGAATTCCATAGCAACTGATTTTGATCCAAACATAATATTAATAAATGAGAACAGCTCATGCATCCAGTTGAGAAGAATTATCAAGTGATGATGAGCTTACATGTGCCTATCATCCCATAAACAATTCCTTTTTCAGTGGGAGAAGCATGATAAAAATCCCACTACAAAGTTTATTTGCACCTGTTTCTGCATAAGAAGGAACATCCATCCCAACACACAAACGTATTGGTTTTTTTTAAAAAAGAAGTACATGACAGTTGCTTTCCAACATTTTTCTACCATCCGAGTCCCAGTACTTGCTGTCAGTTCTGTCTAAAACGTGACCATGGTGAAATCTTAGCTATGAAACCACAGAAAAGACTGTTCATTGATTCTGCATCAGAAGACTAGAGCAATATCTCAGCATGCTCCAAACAACAGCCCCACAGTTGATGCAGAGACTCCCCCCGCCCCAAAGCAGGACATCTTCTGTAATAAAAACACCCAAAGCACACATATTTGAGTGCGCCGACATGTCCTCCTTCCCCCCCATGAACCCAGACAAAGTGGCATCTCTAAAGACAAAGGGTTTCAATAGCTCTCCTGCCCTCTGCCCTCTCCCAAACAATGCAAAATCAAGGAATATTGTCTTTTGCTGAATAAAAAGCTCTAAATATAGAGTGTCTGATGTGTTCTTGGTTTCCTGCCCGTCATTCCCCTCCTGTTGTCCTTCTCCACCACCACCCCCCACTCATCACTAATCTCCTACACTGACACAAAGAGGGTGAGATCACTACCAGTACCACCCCCTGCTTTCCACATGACAAGGCTGAGGGGATTTCCAGCATTTTGACCCTCTTGTTGTTTTCTAGCCAGAGAGAGGTGTGTGTGTGTGTAGGGGTAAATGTCAGGAGGCACTAATCCCACATGTGGGGTAGTTCACTCTAGAACAGAGAGCCTTTCACTTCAGTTTCCTCCTGCACCCACTTCTGTTCTAATTCTGGGCCACCTACACAGCCTTGCCAATTCAGCCTTTACTACTGCAATTGTGTTCTGTCAGGTGACAGGTCATGTTTGGGTTGGTGTACTTCCACAGTTTGGTTCTGCCGTGATGTAGGCATAGATGTGCACCAGAGAACTGCAGTATTTTGAAAAATAGATTGGTGGGGAGGGTCCCTCAAAACCAGTCTCCATGTCAAGGATTCAGCAACAGTGATGCTGCTGTTGAATGTACTATTCATTCACATGAGACTGGGAAAGGTGATTGCCAATCGAACCAAGATGTTGCACAAGAGCACTGGACAGTCTTCTGGGAGAAGCCAACAGAATTGGCGAGGTACAACACAAAGCAGAACAGAAAGAGGTGGAGAATGTAACTGAAGGCATTTTGGACATCACAGAGCCAGTATGGTGGCCGCGATTCTAAGTGGTGAATATTTCATAGCAATTTTTTAACAGGGCAGAGTCACCCAGTTCAAGGAATTCTACGGAGCAGTCCTATGTACAGATAATTCCAGTCTGAGTCTGTAGAATGGGCTTGAGCTGGCGTAACTTTGCAGAGGACTACAGTATTAGTCAACTAGTCATATTATGTTTAACTGATTCATCCATTAATTAAATCTGCACATTTTGCATAATCAAAAAAGATTCTGAAAAGGGTTCTTTTATGTTCACCTGTTTTTAGGTGATGCATGTATGTGTCAGAAATCAACACCTACTTAGAAGACACACTCCCTCTTGTGTGAGAAGAGGAAAGCCCCTTATTTGATGCTGCTTGCCCACCTTTGCCTTGTGTAAGTACTTAAAAATAACCCGCTATCGGATTAATCAGGGACACTTTTTTAATTGGTATACTTAATTAATTATCTAAATATTGCAATTGTACCGGTATTATGAGTAGCTTTATAGGGTAGACTTGTCCTACTTGTAAATTAAAAAATTCTGATGTGGCTATATTGATTCAAGCAGTCTTCAGCTGCCTGTCTATAGTGTACAGATGTGTATTTTGTTAAAGTGGTCAGCTTTGCCACTGAATATGTGCTGGGCAGGGCTTTCTTTGTGGTGATACTCATCAGTACTGAGTACTGGCACCTTTTGCTGGGCGGGGGGCTCTCTCAAGTACTAATGGGAGAATTGGTGGAAATTGACGTAATCTTTTACATGAGTACCAGCACCTTTCTGAAATAAATATGGTTTGCACAGTGACACGTCTCTGAATGTCTACTGCATGCCTATCCCTGGCCATTATTCCCATGCTGCCCCTGGAGGATGGCATCAGGAAGCAGTGGGGGTCCTAGGGTGCTTCCTGAGACTCGGCTTTGTTAAATCAACATCACACTGGTGGAATCACTGTATTCTTACTAAAAATAAACAGGTGGCACTTAAAATACTAGCCAGTATTTGTTCTAGTATAAGCTTTTGTGGATTTAGAGCCCACTTTGTCAGATGCATCCTCGCAAGGCAGAAACATAAGAGATTTTAAAGAGGGGGGTGAGCTGTAAAGAGGAGGGTCAAAGACTCATTTTTGCAAATACTGTGCTCTTGCTATTTGATCTACCCAAACCTTACGTGAAAATTAAAGCAAAGGATCGGCTCTCTAATTAAGGATACTTAGTTAAGGATACTTCTTCAGACACTGATTTATTTCTCGATTCCTGAAATAAATTCCTGGTTGAAGCAAGTTAAAAGGGAGCTGATACCTCCAGATACCCCAGCATCTAAACCACTGAATTTCTACCCCCCCCCCCCCCCCAGGTTTCCTCCCAGAAGGCAAAGAAGAAACTCCATTGAAGGAGAGACCTTGCCTCAAGGTGTCCGGGCTTGCTGTTGCAAAGATCATTGCAGAATTTTGCTGGCCATATAGTTAACTTATAATGCAGTGAACAGGTGAATCCTGTGAATTCTCCTACTCCTCATATACTTTCTTTGTGTGTGTGTGTTCTATCTCTTTGCCAAGAATCTGGGGGCAGGTTCCTTGGAATGTTGCTTTTATTTGCCGTGTTTGGTGTTCCAAATGCAGCAGAGGCGTGGGGGGAAAACACCAGATCCCCACAAGGAGCGGGGGAGGAAACGGGAGAACAGCAGCTACAATCTGAATCACAGACAGAAAAGAAATGAGAGAGGAAGAAAAGGGAGGGTGCATTCCCTCTTAAGTTACAAGAAGGCTTTGCAAACAGGTAAAAAATTAAGGCCAGGCTGTGGAATCCCTTCTATCTATGTCATTATTTCTAACTCCATCCCAGACAGAGAAGGATAAAAGCTCTCCAGAAAACAGTGTTGGAGAATGTGAGAATTTCTCTCTACAGTTGCGATTTTTGAACTGTGGGATGGGCTCCATTTGGAGAGTGAGTGGCACTTGAACTTGGGGGGGAGGTGCAAAGTTCCAGGGACACATAGGGTCCTGAGAGATGTGGTATCTTCCTTCCCACAGCCAAGACCTTATTAGAATGAATACTAGTGTAGATGGTTTTAAAAGGGGATGAGACATTTATAGAGAACAAGACATCGGACCCGTGATACTCATGGGGAGGAGTATCCCCCCTCCACTTCCAGCCTGCAGAAGCAGGAGGCGCTCCGCAGGAGGAGGAAGCAGCAGCAGCAGCAGGTGGGCCCACCAGGCCTGGCACCACTGGTGGCAGCACCTGTGGCGGCGGGACAGTTCCCAGGGCGTTCTCCTGGCACCGGCAGCAGCAACCCCTGGCACCAGCAGTGGCGGGACAGTTCACAGGGCATTCTCTATGCATGCACAGGGAACACTCTTACTTTTGGGGGGATTTAAGTATCCCCTGTATCGTTTTTTAAACTTTTCAAATTTTTCTGCACACCTGGGGATTGCCCCAAGTGTGCAGGAAAATCTCTCTGTCCCCTAAGTGCCCCCGATGTTCAGATTTAGATATCTGCACAGAGGAGGCCTCCTGGCTATTAGTATATAGACAAGAAGCAGGACCTGCGATACTCGCGGGGGAAGTATTCCCCACAGCTCCTGAGCTGCCAACAGTAACTAGGGTTGCCAAGTCTGGCAAACTTACCGGCGGGGGAGGCTCCGACGAGTCTGGGAGCAGGCTCCGTATGTGCGCGCGCACGCGCCGCCGCCGCCATGTCACCGGAAGTGACGTGCGACGTTACTGACGTTGGGGGCATGGCCGAGCTCGTTGGGGGGGAAACCATACGAGCTCAGCCAAGCCCCCAACGTCAGCAACATGGCTGCATCACCTCTGGTGATGCAGCTTTGGGGGGCGGAGTTCCCCCCGGGCCCGATTCCGCCACGGCGGAAATCGAGCCTCCAAAGCGGGGGTTTCCCCGCCCCCCACCCCCATTGGGCAACCCTAACAGTAACACCGGCAAGCCCTGCATGGCTCTGAGCCGCCAGGCCTTCCTCCGCCACCAACAGCAGCAGCAACGACCATGGCTTCTAGCCACCGGCCCGCCAAGGCTCCCCCCTGCCGCTGCCACCCTGCATGGCTCTGCCACAGATCCCAGAGGTAAGTGCAGGAAAATCTCTCTGCCCCCCAAGTGCCTCTGAAGTGCGTATTTAGATATCCGCACAGAGGGGACATCTTGGCTGTTAAATACATAGATGGGTTCCTCAGTGGCCGTAACAGCTTCCTCTGGAACTGAAACAGAAGATGTGACCAGTGGGTTACTTCAGGGATTTGCAAAAGGCAAAGTATGCAAGAGAGTATGAATTTGTGAATGGGACCTAAAGGAAGGTTTAGTTGGAACTGCCATGCTAACATTGGCATGTTGGTCAGCCTTTGGTCCATCCAACCCAGTGCTGTTTAATCTGGCTGGTGTTAGCTTTCCTGGATCTTGGGAAGCGGATGTTGCTTGGCCCTTCTTCCTAGGTCCCCTTAATGAGTGACTCTCAAGACTGAACCTACAACCTTAAACAAACAGGCCATGTGCCCTTATCACTGAGCTACAGAACCTCTCTTCCCTGGTGGAAGTACCCAACACGGGGATAAACATGAAATCTTCTAAGTTGTCATGGGTTCCTCACTCCTGCTGCAGCCACTGGTTGCCCCAGGATGCTGCTCCTGGAGGACAGGAGACCCTTGGGAAATAGCATGACAGGAAAATGGTGGGTCTGCAGCAGGAAAGGTACACACCCCTTCCTTTAACTGAAAATTTAGCCTGGATCTAGCCCCATAAGACTCCCCACAGAAGCCACAATTCTATTGCTATCTATTTCTATGGCAAGCCATAGGACTTTTTGTGTAGCCAGTTTGGTGTAGTGGTTAAGTGCTCGGACTCTAATCTGGGAGAACTTGGTTTGATTCCCCACTCCTCCGTTGCAGCTGCTGGATGACCTTGGGCAAGCCATAGTTCTGTCAGAGCTGTTCTTGAAAGAGCACTTCTGGAAAAAGCTCTCTCAGCCCCACCTACCTCACAGGGTGTCTGTTGTGGGGAGGGGAAGGGAAGGGAAAGGAGATTGTAAACTGCTCTGAGAGTCCAAATGAAGGGTGGGGTATAAATCCAATCTCCTTCTCCTCCTCCTCCTTTTGTCTTCTCAGCCTTCACTTGCCTAGAGCTCCAAGCCGTATCATGCCATCTAGGGTGGGTTTGTGAGAGCCTCTACTTCTGTTATTTAAAGGGAGAAATATCTAGTCCTCATGATTACGGAGATACTTTTGATACTGTAATCAGTTTTCACTTGCCGTGCTGTTACTGAGGGTTGCATCCTTTTGTTTGGCACAGCCTCTGTGATTTTAACAACTATGTGACAAGCAGAAATTCAACAGGTGAAGCATTTCTTCATCTGAAGCATGAGGAAATCATCTTTAGTTGCCTGTTGTGGAGCTGCAAAAGATCTATCAATGATGGTAACCCCAACAAGGCTTCTTAGCAAAAAAGATTCAAGTTCTGTGGAAACTCCCAAACTGGCTTTAGAATAGGTTGCAAGTAGAACTCATTGCAGAATGAGTACATTTACATATGTGCTTAAATTTTATTTTCATACTTTATTTGGAAACAGAATCTTTGCAGAATTTAAATTCTCTTTGTATGTGTGAACAGCCTGAGCTTACCTCTGCATGATTTCTGAGTCTTGCTAACAAGGTACATAGTCTAAGATGCTTGTTTGATAGCCAAAAGGGAAAGACACAAATGCAAACAATATAGCGACAACTTGCATTTGAATTAGCAAGTTTCTCCCCATCTTTTCCTTGTCTTAGCAGGATGCTGAGCTGCCTCCACCCCCAAACCCCATGCCAAGAAGCCTTTATTTTTAAAATCACAAACAATGAACAAGCAGCTGCTATGAGCCTGGATGGAAATTATATATACATTTTAATTAGCTCCCTTTGAGTCAATTTCCCTTCCCATCATTCATTAGCAGGAGCAGGTGGCAGAATGACCCCCTAACCCCTTATCTATAGGGTGGAGAACCTCCTTTATCCCCGGGCTCACCTGGCATTTATTTTTGGTAGTTAGACTGCCCTAGTCTGGCACCACAAACAGAATTGAGTAGAAGATTCTGCTAGGAGTTCACATGTAAGAGAAACTATCAGAATACCATGTCTGTGCTGCCATATCTGTACTACTGAGACATTACTCCCACCCACTCCCAACAAATCCTGCAAACTGTGGTTAAGGGGTGTGGAGGTTAGTTATCACTAAGAAAAAACGCTAAGCATTCTCACCAACCTACCATTCTCAGGATTCTTTGGTGGAAGGCATGACAGTTAACTTGGTATAAAATAAAGTATGTACTACAGATGTGCTCGTGGGCTTTTTCACATCAAAGAACTGAGAAAGAACCACAGATAAGCCCAAGGCAAGCTGCACCAACAGT